CTCTGAAAGTATTCGCCGAGTGCCTGACCTTTTTCGTCGTTTGTTGCGTATTTGTCCTGTCCTGATTCAAGTGTGGGAAGTTGCGAGTATGGTTTTGTAAAATGCTTCGCAATTTTCCACACTGAATTGTCTCGGGGGTTGACCGCTTCTAGGGTTTCATTCCACTTTTTATTTTTCTCTAGTTGAATTAAGAAATTAATATGTTTAACTAAATCATGCAGCATGTCCCTATCCGCGGCTTGTCTGTGTGATTGCCATCTCCGCCTTAAAGTGTTTTTTGTGCGTATTAAGTCTCGTATTTCGTCCGTTATGTGTTCCGTATACTGTTTCCTTGTCACAAGCACTGCAGTGTGATTTCTTGCTGATTTAATATGCTGTGTAAAATTATTTATTTCAGTTTCTAGTTCCTGTTTAGTGCTTATGACTTGGATACGTAAGATTTCGTCGAGTTTACGTCTAAATGCGGTCCAGTCTGTCTTGGAGTAGTCAAAATATTTGCCTAGTTGTCTGTGTGCTTTGTTGTTTATTTTAATCTCCAAGTAGACTGGGTCGTGGTCGGAATTTAAAGCGGGGATGGTTCTGATGTCAGAAACGTTAGTTATGTTTTTTGTTATTGCTAGGTCCAAGGTACTGGGAATGTGGTGGGGGATAAAAGGGAAGTGGGTGGGTTCGTCTGTGTAATGTATGTTTAGGTCATTCATCTCAGCGAATTCTTTCAGAGTTTTACCGTTTTTGTTATGTTTGATGCAGTTTGCATCCCATTCCGGGTGCTTGCTGTTTAGATCTCCCATTAAGACGACCCTCTGTCCTGTCGAAATCAGGTTATTTAATTCTAGTGAAGAAAACTTATTTTCCGGGCTGTTATATACCCCCACAAATACGATATTACCAACTTGTATTATGAGACTTTCAAGTGATGTGTTTACATTTTTTAGTTGTTTAAATTGGATCTTTTTATTTATAAAGAAAGCAACCCCCCCATGTCCCGAGTTATCTTGTCTTTGTTGTTTAATTACAGTGTATCCGTTAATTCTAAATGTTTCGTTATCCCTAAGTCTCGTTTCTGAAATAAATACTATGTCGAATTTATGATTGTGAACAAAATTGCTAACAAGGTTTTTCTTGTTATGCAACCCGTTCGCATTATAGAAACAGATCTTGTATTTGTCAGTACATGTCTCACCAAGTTCAGTTCCTGAAGTTATAGTTGTTTATGTTGTCATAGAAAGCTTGGTAGGTTATATATATGTCTAAATTGGTGAGACATGCACGTAATTTGATATTCAAATCTCTAATTGCTCTAGTTAACTCTGATAAATTTACCAACCTGTTAAGTTCTGTAAGCTCAGCGTTCAATGCCTGGAAATCATCAGGGTTGCCATTTGGGTTGGTGGGATTGGGTCTAGGAGGGGGATTTGGCCGTAATGTTGTTTGGGAGGGGTTTATTGTTGATTGGGAGGGGTTTGTTTGCGCGTTTGTGTTGTATTGGCCTCTGCTTCGCAGCTCCGGGAATTCTTCTCTTCCTGGCACCTGTCTTTTTTTGGCTTCCCAAGCATTTATTTTTGGGGGTGGTGCTTGTATGTACTTAGTGGGTTTTGACATATTTCTCTTATCCTCTAGTCTTTCCAGTCTTTCAAGGTAAGCCTGGCACTTACTGTAGTTCGCCGGGTGCTCACCGTCACAGTTGGCGCATTTGGCTGCGGTTTCTCTCGATTTCATACAGGTTCTCGTTAGATGTTCCCCTGCGCATTTTAGGCAGCGCGGTGGTCTACCGCAGTTTGTCGTTGCGTGTCCCCATTTTTGGCAATTGTGACACTGGATTATCTGTTTCATACTCTTACGTAGTTCCCAAGTTATTCTCGTGTGTAAGATTATTCTGACATTTTTGTTGAGATAATCCAGTGTCAACGACGGGTCTGTTACGACCAAGAACAGTGGACGATTTTTGGTGTTCATTAAAAATACATTTCTTGTTTTGATTTCGTACTGGGAGTCCAGGTCCTCCTCAATATCGGGTATTTTTGTACCCATGGCTAATCCCCTGAGAACAAACGCGTGAGATTTGTCTTCTTTTGTCGTGTATGTGTGATACGCGATTTTTTCATCCTGAATGTTTTTTAAAACTTTATGATGATCTTCTTTCTCATCTACAAACAATATGGTCGAGTTTGTAGTATGTTTCACGCTGAAATTTCCTCTAACAGTGGCCCTTAGATCCTGTATTAGGGTGTTTTGATTTTTTGTTTGTCCGTCTACTACAATCGGTGGCATTGTGTATTTTTTCACAGGGGTGTTTTTCACTCGCTTTTGTGTGTTTGTTTGTACTTTGTTTTGTTGTGATGTGCTTTGTTGGTTCGCCAGTATGTCTTCGATGGTTTCCTCGCTTTGTTTATCTTTAGTTTTGTTCCTTTCTGATCTCTTTCTCTTAACGATCTTGCCTATCTCATCATCGTCATATTCTGAGTCCGAGTTATCGGTGAGTGGGAGGAATCTGTTTCTCGTGGCTGTTAGAGATTTTTTAGTTTTCTCTTTTATGAGACTTTGAAAGTTTGAACTAAATTTTCTTGGAGTCTGGAACGGTAACCCTCCTTCAACTTCTTGGGTGTCCATTTTTGTTTCCTTTGTTTTTCTTACAGGTCTGATAAACGTGCTGTTTGGGGATGTAGGGAGATATTCATGTGATTTGTCGTCCTCTGACGTTATGTCGCTCGATTTATAGCCCAGAATTGAGTTTTGTACTTCTGTAGGGATGTCTGTCGTTTTCACATGTATTTGCACGTCCTTATTCGAGGGTAGTTGAGTGTAAAAATCTTTGTTTGGACAGGGATTTGGTGTTTGTGTCATTGTTTGACCAGTATTGTATGGGTGAAAGTCAAATTTGTGGCTACTCAGTTCACCACGCTTTTGTACTTTCTCCATACTTTTTTTATCCGCTATTTTTATTTTTGGAGTGGCTCCTGTATTTGTGTTTTTGTAGTTGTCTGATGATAGATCAGTCCCAAAACCAAAATTTAGGGGTCTAGCTTGTGTGCCTGTGGGGAGGTTTAGTCTTTTAATAACTACTTTTGTGGGATGGCTTTGTTCTGACACATATCCCGATAGGAAAGCATCGTTATTATCTTTTTCAGTCGTATTTGTGACCTGGGGGGGTTTTCCGGATTTGATTCAGGGTGTTCATCCCCTTCATGTTTTCCTTCCCCTCCTTCTGCGGAGGGGGAGAGTGCTTTGTCGTCCGCATCCATGTACTCCTCTGATTTATCGTCGCTCGCTGTGCGATTCAAATTAGGATGGGGTGTTTCTTTATGTTCTATGTTTTCTAGACTTTTGTGAATGTTGTCTTTGATTTTGTGCAGATTCTCCAAACTTTTGTGGGAATTTTCCGAACTTTCGGATAGGTAATTTGCATTTTTGCTGCTTTCATCGACTTTATTATTAGAGAGGATTATTATTTTGGGGTCTGTTTGCTCTATGAGGTTGTGTGGGTCCTGGGGGCATTCTGCCGTGGCCGGTTTAATGGTTGTATCCATGCTCTCATTTGAGCTGGAGGATTCGTCTAGATTTCCGTATACTTCTTCAAGAAGTGTTTGAGGGTCATTTGTAGGTCGAACCGGCGAAATTTTGGCCAGGGGTTCACCCTGTTTCGGGTAATTGACCCCTGGGTTAGTTTTATCTGATGTTAGAGCCCAAATTGTGTTTTTACTCACGTTTATACTTGATTTAAGTCTAGATTTAGCTTTAATGTTGTCTGGCGTTTGGATTTTGGCAATATTCCTAAGCTCTGCAGTTTGTTTCCATCTGTTTCGCTGTCTTTGAGAATATACTGTGGGGTATTCTTTTAGTTGTGGTGTGTTTGCCCCGGGGGGCTCTCCCATAAGGGTGTGGTTCCCTTTTTACGGGGTTTTTGATACTTCCTGGCTTACTCGAGCGATTATCTTAGAAAAATTAGTTGGCTTTTAGGTTAATAACCTGGTGACACGATTTGGAACTACGAGGAGCGGTACAAAATTCGTCGAAACTTCCTTTGGCAAGTCCAAAGGTAAACTGAGTCGGAAGCAGTGACGGTTAAGGAAATAGCATTACTTCGTGATCGACTGTGATTAGTGGATTAAAGTTTCCACTGGTTGCCGGAGTAGCGGAGGATTTAGTGGCTCGAAGGCACCTTGGATGTAGAGAAATTAGCCGACGAAGTAAGGCTGCAATAACACCTGAATTACTTCGCTGACGTTAACTTCAGAACTAAAAAACTGTATTCCGGAAAAAAAAAGAGGTTAATTATTATGGCGGTTTTAAGAAGTTTCGTCTCTGAAACCAGACTGCTATAAAACTTGACTGGTCTCTTACGAAAGTTCCCCAATTCTACGTTAGATCCAAAATTTGGTTTTAATTAAAGGCAAAAGTTTGTCGGACTATAACAAAGGATTTCTTTGCTAATATTTAATAAGCGACGGTCAATCAGGATAACAACAAAATAAATCTCGATGAAAAAAATTACTAGTAGAACAAGATACTTACCTTAAATTTTCCACAATGGGCGGTATTCACACTATTTAAAATTAATTTAATTAGATATCCTTAAAATTTATTTTACGTATGTTTTAGAATGTCTATAATAATTTCTGTGAAATATAGATGAGATACTTGCATTTTTTGGCAGTTCTGCAGCTCTACAGCACTTATTCACCAGCCGCCACTGCGTACATCTCGGGTGTGACTTTATTTAAAAAAGATATAAATACGGTTCTTCAAATTTAAATATAATATACCTATGAGACAAATGATCTTAAGTATGATTTAATATAGTATAGTGTTATGCGACTATAATAAACTAAATAATCCGAAGAATATAAACGAATATATTTTATGCAGTATTACATTTATGACATGACTACAAATAATGGATTCATAAGTTAATGTCCATAATGAAAGGATTAAGGTGTATTCCGTATTTACTTAATCAATAAATTAAAAATTAATTGCAAATTGTATTTTGTTTGTTACAGTGTTCCAACATCTACGGACAACGTTGCAAACTCAAAGTTGAATCCTGAGGCCGCAGAATTCGTACCTTCGAGCAGAAGGGTTCCGCAAGAGGTACCGACATCGACTTCGTCTTAATCTAATTATTAGAATTAGATCTCAAGTACTGTATATAAGAGAACTTATTTTCCCTTTAGAAAGTTTTTGCTTTAATTTGTGGGACAACTCAAGAATGCGATCTTATAAAGCTTTATCTTATCATTTTTTATGGAAACGATTTTGGTTATTTTAATTTTTTTATTTGTTCTCGAAGATCATTTATGGTTTAGTTTTAATATTTATTTTGTCCCTTACTTTTATTAATTTCGTATATATAAGTGTTGGTTTTACTTTGTCTTGACGTTTTTTCTCAGGAATCTTTTTTTGTTTCTTTTTTTAGAAAAGGCTTGCTCTGTACATAATATAAATAGAGTGACAAAGTCCAATAACTTGTTTGTCGTACTAAATAATAAAATATGTATTTCGAAATACTGTAGAGAATCTTAAGACACACCTTTTAAAATGATTGTTAAATGTAGAGTATTCTATAAATTCAGGCAAGCACATATATTCATTTTTAAACTGAATTAACCCTGCTAGTTTGCAAAAATAAATATAAAAAATATATAAACCGAAATAAAAAGAACTGTAAACTTGAATAACATCAAAATCGGAACATAGTATACCTTATTCTCAAAAAAAAGAAAAGCTTAAAATAGGTAGGATAAATTGAATGTTTTAATTTGTAGTGATTGGGCGTATACATTCTGTCAAAATGAGTCTCACCAAATTTAAACATTAGCTGACGATTGGCATACGATTTTAAACGGTTTACTTATCTTTATCTTAATTATAATAAAATAAGACCATGAAAATCGTATTAAAAATAAAATGTTTTCAAAACCCATACTCCCAGTCCTCACTAATAAAAGGGGGAAAAGCTCTGCTGAATTTCAGCTCTTAACTCTTAATTTCTATTTGTCTAGTTGAAAGAATTTTTGGTGAATGTTGGAATTTGGTGAGACTCTTTTTTGGCTGAATGTATAACCCCAATCACTGTAAATTAAAAAGTTCAATTTATCCTATTTTAAGCATTTCTGTACTATGTCTTAATACTCAAATGATATAAATAACTTAAATGCGTAATAATATGCAAAACACTGCTATTAAATAAAAACAGCAAAAATAGACAGTTATTCGGCTCTGTACATAAGCAATAATAAGCGTTACTGCATTCCAAATATTTTGTGAAACCAGTTGTCTATAACAGTGTCTCGAAAAAGAAATCTCAATATTTTTTAGCAAAAAAATAATGGTTTCACATATATTGATTCGTTTCGAAAATATTGTTCTTGAGAAAAAACAAACATTGAAATCAAAACTGCCAACACAAATCTTTAATGAGCATTCAAGTGATTGAAAAATACTCTTCAAGTTGTATATTTTCTGGTAAGATCTACATAATTAACTACATGTAACATAGTCTGTGATACTGTACCATTCTGTCACCGGTAATTAAGAAGATCTTATCTGAAGATCAGTAATTTTCAAGTTCAAACTGTATGTAGATTTTTTTCTCATAGGAAATTAGATAAAAATAAGTTATTTAATTATTTATAAGTCAAATGTATATCTTGTTAATTATATAAAGGGTGACAATAAAGTATTGCTATTGAGGGGCTTCCACACTAGGACTAGAAGTCAAAAGTAAAATTAGTTTCGGGTATTTATAAAAATATTTCGTTCTTCCAGAAATTTGTGCAATTTGATTCTCAAAAAAAGTTCTTCCAAATTTTGTCTTGTGCATGTGTGAAACAAAAATTCTACCTATTTCAGAGACATGCAAGACATTTTCCTCTTCTATACAAAATTCTTGTAATAGCTTCTGATTTTGATGTTAAAATTTAGAAAATATTCTGTGCCACCGAACGTTTACTTTGTCCTATTGGGATAGATACAAGAATATATTTTTTTATTACTTTTGTTGAAATGTAGGATCCATTCAATATAGTAGGAATCCCCAAATTATAAGTCGTGCTTATCTTAAAAAAAAAATGTGGTTAAATTCACTTGTAGATGATTTTGCACTGTCATTAGAATTATTACATACGACACCTTAAATAATTATAATCACAAATGTCGTGCATTTCTTCATTTAACCTCTACAAAACATACTGAAAGATATTAAAATAAATGTTGATAAGTAAAAATAAAAATATGAATAATTATGATGTTAGGTAATTAAATTTTCTTGGTAGGTATTCTGTGAGAGGAAATATATAATAAATAATACAACTTGACGTTACATTTAGAAAAAAAAAAGTTATTTGGCAACTTGTGAATTTGGCCTATGTATAGTAGGCATTTATTATCAAAAAAAATTATTAGCAATAATTATGTTATTAAGTACATCTTCACAAAATCATGTTTTGATAATTCCTACTTTTCTAGCTCCAAAATTTTCTGATTTTAAATTTCTCTGACTTTTTCGTTTTTACAACAACAGGTACTAATTAATCTGCTAATTTTGAAAATGTTTTAGATTTAGAAATGTCGGACATAAAATAATTAGCGAAACAATCGTTTACTTTTTCGGGCGTGAGAAAAGGTAAACCAAATAAATGTTGCATCCATTTTCCATGCTCTGTATTACTTTTATCAAGATTTATTGAATCCAAGTTTTGAATTTTTCTATACCAGCTTTGTGCAAAATAGAATCGACTACCAAACATTTTTGGGTTGCCTAGAGATAACAGGAGATGTAGCTATTAATGATAAAATATATAATGCATGATGCCAACATTAATTCGACAGTCAATACGCATTTTTTTAGTAATGAATATATATGTAAGCCAGGTGTAAGTGCTTGTGCGCTTATAATAGAAAACGTAAAAATGCAATGCAGTACAATTTGAAACAATTTTGTTTGATGAATTGAAAACAGGAGATTGACTTTAAGTTTTTTAAAGTTATGTAGGTACTACTTTATTGTCTCCTAATATATATTTTTTAAACTCTGAACTTGAAAACTTCTATAATATTTACAAATCATTGTTGTATAAGTGTTTATTGGAATGGAAGCAACTAACAAATATATATATAATTTCTGAAACTTACTTAGTTGATAAGATTTTAGACTCAGGGTTACTTTACTTATTTTCTTTTTTATTCTAGCTGTATTCAGCATATTAAATCTGTTGTAATTGAACTAGTAAAAAAATTGGTGTTAGAAGAATATTTATTTTCATTTTCTATTATTCCTTTCAATAAACATTAAAATATTTTCATAAATCAATATGCAGTGTGTCATTTTTTTTTTTTATTATAATGACTTTTGATGATTGCTTTTCATGTTTCGTATTAGACAATTATAGCCTAAATACCTAGATAAAATAACTTAAATTATTCCTTTTTACCAATTATCAATAAATTATACTAAAAATGTAAATTTGGTGGTTATACTTTAAAAATATGCTTTTTATTTTAGTTCTGCATAAATAAGATAAATATAAATTGACAGAAGTTAATTTGTCTTGCTTAGTGCGAGCAAAAATGATTAAGGCCACAGTAGCAAACTTCAGTATCTACCTTTCCTGTTATTCGACAGTTTCGCATTACTCATGCGCGAAAAGAGCGTGGGAATATTGAATCTAGTAATTTTCTGGCTTGGCTACGACGATTACCCAAGGGCATCGTTAATTTAAACAACTGTCATCTAGTCTATATATTAGAGAAGCCAGTGATATTTTTTTGGTACACATTTGAACAATTATAAATGTATCGTTAACTCTTATCTCGTAGAGCATGAAAATACTTTGATGCAGACGCACCAGCTATGGAGCGCTCAATGACGGCGTCTTCAAAAAACCAATATAGAAAATAAGAATAAAAAATGTTGCTGCCATATTAGCGGTGGAAAACCTTCAAGTTTTTAAAAATAAAATTATTATAATATGTTGTATTCTTGCAAGGCTCATTTTGTTATGTGATAGAATAAAATATTAATGAAAATTTGAAATTCCCTGTCAGCAAGCAAGAAGGCACTGTGAATCGAATTTCATGAAAGTGACAGCAAACTTTGTTCTATTAGCTTTTGATGTAAATAATATCTGAAAGTTTCAAGCTTGCTCTTCTATGGCAGCATTTTGTACACAGGCTTTTCTAAGACGTCTTCGTCGAGGGCTCCATTGCTGCAGGGACTGCAGCAAAAAGTTTTTTATGTTTTACAAGGTAAGAATAAATGAAATGTTTGTAATTTTGCCTTTCGCAAATAACACACGTAAAAGTGCCATTGGCTCCCCACAAATAATATCAAACGCAGAAACTAATAAAATTCAGGGTAGGATACGTAACAACAAATTTTGATGATTTTAAGAGAAATAAGGATATGCGTATGAATAATAGAGATCAATATAACGGGAAAGGTTTATTGCTAACGATAACTAATTTTGATGTATGTCATGCATATTAATTTAAGAGATAGAGCAATATTCTATTCATTATTAATCCGGTCCTGATCGACATGGCAGCACTGTCTTAAAATCTTGTTTTTTGTAGTTAAACGAAATTTCTATGAGAAACTCTGCACGTGTTCCATCGCCTGACGAGTCCTAGAAGTTTTCGGTTTTTTTTTAATAATATGAGCTTTATAGGATTTCGGTTCTCAGCTCATGTCAGTAAATAATAATAATAATAATAATATTTCGTTGTCAAATGATTGAATGAAGCATATACTCCGTCTCACAAGTAGAAGCAATGAGCAAACGTGGTCTAATGGATAAGTCGTCGGCTGTTGAAACAAGGGATTGTTCGATACCCTGCAATGTTTGTTCATTACGTTTTATCATAATAGTCATATGTTGTCTATACTGTATGATTTTTTATGTAGTTTTAGTTACTTTTTTAGACTAATTTTAAATTAATGGTATTAAATATTTTCAAAATGTTAGTAACGACACTTATCTCCATTCATTCATTTGACAAGAAGTTGTGCAAACGCAAATTGCTAGGACTTATTACTATTTCAAAAAATCTGACCGTATTCTGAATCGAGTAAAAAAAATCTGTTTTTGCATAAACCTATTTGATCAATTTTCCTAATTTTTTGTAGGTTAATGCCAAAAGAATTCATAAAAAAAAATAAAAACAAATCAATTTTGCGCATATATGTAGAAAAATCGTAGATTCCAACTATTTTAATTAAAAAGTTCTTTTACTCCCACTAGGGTACGTGGCAAATCAGGTCCAGAAATTAAAATTTTATCTCCTCTGTAAATGTGAATATTGTTATGATAAAATTAAACAATGAAAAAAAGAAAACAAAGCAAAAAAGATCGTATGTGCCGAGACTCGAACTCACAATTCCTTGATTCAGTAGCCGACGCCTTATTCATTAGACCACATTCGCTCGATGCTTGTATTTCCGATACTGTATACGGGTTGTCCCATTAGTGCGTAATTGCTTGATAGATTAATTTGTGTTATAAACACACAGACAAGTTTCAAATTAAAGTTATACTGATTTGAAAGGGCATGTTTTAAAAATATTTTTGGACATACAGGATATTACGATTTTGCCTGGCAAATAAAAATTTATATTTTTTTAAATGGAAGACTATTTTATTTCAGTTTTAGAATGGTCTGGTAATATTGTATGCAACACTAAATTATTTTTGAAAAATATTACAGGTTTGCCAAGCAATTATTTTTTTTGTGAAATTAAAGAATGATGCAGACCGAAAATAAAATTATCATAATTTAGGTAGGTTTCCATGATTTCAAAATTGTTTAAAATGCAGACTTATAAGATAGAAACCTAACGAATAGTGACGATAGAACTGGTTCATTTTATACAGAATGTTTTGAAACATGTAATAAATATGGCTCTTTTTAAGTTCAATGTATTCAAGTTTTTTAAATGCAATACCGTGTATACTATTTTAGCATTAAATTCGTTATGAATTTACCTATCCAACGATACCAACATATCCCATCAGAGCATAATTGATCGATAGCTTTATTATTGGAGATACACTTTTAATACAAAAATTGTACGACCGTATTATACAATTATTCCTAAATATACAGGGTAGTCCATAAATGAGGGGCTAACCAAATTTATAGTTTTTTTAGATCAAACAATCTGGACAACAGAGTTCGTTGTTAAAGTGATCTTAAAATTAGCCATATTTAAGACATGTTTCAAAACGAACCAATTCAATCACCAATATTTGTTTGTTTGGTATCTTATAAGTCTGTATTTTAAGCAATTTTGAAATCATTGCTAACCTACTTAAATTATGGTAATTTTATTTGGGGGCTGCATCATTCTTTAATTTCACAAAAAAAATTAATGGCTGGGCAACCCTGTATTATTTTTTAAATACATTCTAGGATTAAATACAGCATTACTAGATCATTTTAAAATAAAATATAGGGTGTCCTATTTAATTAAAAAATATATTTTTATTTGCCAGGCAAAAACGTAACACCGTGTATATCCAAAAATATTTATAAAATATCTTTAAAATCCATTTAACTTTTATTTGAAACGGCGTGTCTATAACACAAATTATTGAAATATCGAGTAATTACACACTAATGGGACATACTATATATATGGTAGTCTTCCTGTGGCATTTATTTAAAAATCGATGTACTAAGAAATTACAGGAATTAATAGAAAATCTCTACTTTGACCGTATGACATAAAAAATTCTCAAATATTTCTTAACCATAATGTTTCCTTGATTAGAAAAATATGTAGAGTAAATTCTACTTTTTAGTTCTGGTTTTTAAAATCACTTTTATGGTTTTGTTTAATTGAAGGGACGACAAAAAAAAGGTCGAAGATTTTATTCTTTGAACCTTTCACCTTAAGCTCTTACAAAATTATTTGCATACATTTAGCAGAATTAAAACTTAGTTACAACCAACCCTTGTTTCTTATAGCTAAAATACAGTGAAACTGCGGCCTTAATATGTATAGAGCACAATGAAAATTCCCATACACACTGCATATTGAACGGATAACTATAATGCGGCAAGAACTAATATGTATTAATTGATAGATATGTTATAATATGCACATAAAAGATTATTTACATGAATTTAACCTGTCAGATTTTATATTTAAAAATTAATTTGTATGTATAGAGAAGAAATCTTGAAAATGAAGTTATCATTGTGAAAAGTATATTTACCGCCGGTTACTTATAAATATTGTACATTGTGTGATAATATTTATTTATGTATATTTTTTATTGTAATTGTAAATATTCATATTGTTATCGTATTTTTTAATGTTGTTTCGACTCTGGCAGGTAAAATTTATAATAAACACTTGGTTGTATACAAAGAAACGAAAAAACAATTCCCCATTATATTATAAAAAAATAATTATATGATTATATGATTCGTTAATACAGCAATAACCAAAAATTCTGAACCACATGGAAAACTTTTAATTTATTTATTTCCAGCCATCAGCTTTCGTTATATGGAAGTAGAAATAAATATATTTAAAATAATCTCAATATTGTACAAAATATCTGTATGTAGCACATACTAATGCACGGCTGTAGACTATAACTTAAAAGTTCAAAATTATACAGATTATTCAAAACGAAGCACAGTACCCAAAATAAATTGTTAATAATTGAAAATCGTACTTTCATAATAATAAGAAGGATAACTCGCATAATGAATACAGATAATCTGATAAATTGGAGCAAGGAAGCCTGATATACTGGTGCCACTAATGTCTTAAGTTTAATGTTATAAAGGCGTCTGAATTATAGTTGTATCCGGAAATTAGTAATTGGCAGTAATTTAATGTGTGAAGAATACTGATAGAGTTGCCATATGTGCAATATATGTGATCACCACTCAAAAAGGCCTGTCCCGTAACCTACGAAGATATCACATATTTTTGGCGCAATGAGAGATGACTGCATTCTTCACATAGTCAAAAAATAGAACTGTACCAGCAGTGGGATTCTTGTCTTTCAATAAATCTTGTGCCGAGAAGCCTATCTTCGTTCAACAGACTGCGATCAGAACCGCCGAGAGGACAATTCTGTACATCGGGCCCTGTGACAAAAACTTGTCGTTTTCTAAATAAAAAAAGTCATCGTCTCGAAGAAAATACATTTTCTCCCTACCTCAATTACTTCTTCTTCTAAAAAAAAAAAAATCAATCACATCACTTCCCCTTTCTCTTGTTATATCGAATTTCTCATGCAGAAACAGAAAACCCTATTGTCGGGTCCCCATTTGGAGCCCGGCCCCCGGGAATTAGTCCCGCCTACCCCACCCCTCCACTCGGGTCTGACTGCGATTCTTATGTAATGTCTCTCTATTCAATACGTAACTTGTCGAGTTCGCACATAAGAATCCCTATGTGTTTCTTGTATTGCCATTAGAAATATTAAAATATTTTCTTCAGCCAATATTGAATTGTAATGATTTTCATTTCATATGGCGTATTTCTTTAACTAATATTTTATATGGGTACATAATTTAATTAGGTATTCAAATTGATGACCGTTAGAAAAATAATAAAATATATACATTATCTACACAGGAGACGTACAGTACTGCCCACAAATAGAAAACGCAAGAGTTTACATACTGATTTTCTGTACCAAGTTTTACCGAAATTAGAGAACATTTTTTTTATCAAAAAATATTTTAAATATTTTTTGAGCTTTTCGTGAATAATTCACGGTCTAGATTGAGCTGAAGTAGTACATTTATTGATTTTTTATTTATTTAACATAATTTTTACCTACTTAATTTTGTGAGAAGTGGTCTACTTATCTTATTTACAAAATGGTTGATTTTAGGACACAACTATATAAATCTTTTTTGCTCCATTTTGCCATCTTAATCACTTGTTAAATTATGTGCCTTGTATAACTTTAATTAATTTTTGTATTGTGGGATAATGCAAATAAATTGAACAATGGTAAAATAATAAATTCCATATAAAAATGCTTTATTCGCAAAAATACATGTTTGCTTTTGGACAACAATCCTGTATAATTTTGATTAATACATCAACTTTTATGTTATTGTAATTGTCTCTCCGTGTGATACATAATTTTTGGTACACATTGTACATGTATTTATTATGAATAACTACTTAATTTCAACACATTTCTAGAAAATTTAGGATATTTCTATTAAATGTTAATCAGGTGTGTAGGAAAACAAGATAGAATTGAAATTTGAGATAAGAGGCTTTGTTAATTTCAAATATTTACATTAAATTGTGTCAGATATTGATATAAATTTTCTTATTTTATCCTGGATGTCTAGTCAAAAAAAACTGCAATATGGTCGAAAGTGAATAATATATTAATAACACCCTGTGGCGTTGTACCGTCATTAGGACTTTCTTGGTCCAATTTTGGGTTGGATAATAAAGGCTATTTTCAATGAATCATCTACCTTTGATATTAAGATACATTTATTTATTTTCATTTTATTTCAATTTGAAATAAAATGATAGATTAAGTTGCTTCTCAAGATGCCATCAACCGAAGTTCTTTAGCCCATGGCGTTGTATATACATATGTTATATGAACACATAATATTCAATCTGTCAAGTGAACCTTTACGGTAAATAGCAATGAAATGGTAAATTTATTGTTAATTATATGAGAATTAGTAAAACTTACACAAATTTTCAAATCTGTCTAGTTTCCCTAGAATGATTGAAACTTGTCAGGAATCACTCTGTAATTTATTTAATCTAATTAGGACCACCTTGCAAAAAAATACGTAGTTCCACTGGGTTTTCATGGAATTAAATAATAAATGTATGTCTACTAATACATTTCTTGTATAAATATAGAAATCTGCATGTGGTCGCATACATTTTCTAGCATAGTATACAAAAAAAAGTTACAAATTTTTGTTGTTTTTCTAAACCGTATTTTTATTAAACCAACGTGACATTATTTTCCGACAAATGTTTAAGAGCTTGATGCAAAAAACCGCTATTTGATATTTTTTTGCAGATATAAACGTTTTAAAAAAATTAAGTTAAAAAGGCCATCCATTCTCGGATGTGAAATAGTTGTATATACAGTGTGTCGCATTTAAGATGAAGACACCCCTAAATTTTGTCTATCTAAATAAATACAGATTTGAAGTTTCGCACAGTAATAAAGGGTGATGGTTCATATTTTTTAAGATACTCAACTGAAATTTAAATATTAAACGCGGCCTACTGCGAATCCACAAACAGGGTCAATTTTTGATATTTTTCTTCGCGTTGGAGATATTAGAAAAAGTTATTTGAAAAAGTTGTTCAGAATATTATTCTAACCCCACATACCAAATTTCATGACAAAATTCGCATTTTTAGTTTTTTATTATTTTTGTCAATACACAAAATTATTAAATGTTTTTTTTTATTAGATAAGCTAGTGTGCCATGGATAGGAATAATTTGATACTTGTGAAATCAATAATGTCAATCATGGCACACTAGTTTATCGAATAAAAAAAATCAACTTTTAATAATTTTTTGTGTATTGACCAAACTAATAAAAAAACTAAAAATGCGAATTTTGTCATAAAATTTGGTATGTTGGGTTAAAATAATATTCGGAACAACTTTTTTAAATAACTTTTTCTGATATCTCGAACGCGAAGAAAAATATCAAAAATTGACCCTGTTTGTGGATTCGCAGTAGGCCGCGTTTAAAACTTAAATTTCAGTTGAGTATCTTGAAAAATGTGAACCATCACCCTGTATGACTGCAAAATTTCAAATCTGTATTTATTTAGATAGACAAAATATAGGGGTGTCTTCATATTAAATGCGACACACTGTATATTGATATGGTATGAAATGCCCTCAATTCTTGAATTTCTAACTCTACTTGGAGTGGGTTTAGTTTCTGACAACATTAACACAGATTACTGCCAAAAAGAAAATTTACAAATAACAAAAAACTTTTCGTCTGTTTTGCCTCTGCGCCTTCTCTAATCGGAATGTGGCAATCTGTCGAAAGCGGCAACTAACTTTTTGTTCAATGCACACAAGATTTGTTCTACGATCATACTTTTTCAAGAAATTCATGTAAAAACTGAAAATTGTCGTAATTAGTGTATATGTGTTGCCTATACCTACGTTAATCATGAAAAAAGCAGTTGATATTCAAAGTCCATGTTAACTTAAATAATATAACAAAATACATGTAACTACTTACAAATAACTTGAAAATAATTTATTAAAAAGGAATATTGTATTATAGCTAATTTAAATTAGGCGAGCAACAAAGCTGTCACTTAATGTCAGTTCGCGGAAAACGTCAACTTTGCGGTTAGATTTCGAAGCGCAAAAGCCTACTTTGGATAGTGATCGTAGAAAAATATAATTTTAACATATACAAATTCATGACATATCATTTTGCACCCCAGAAATATACATATTAAAATTCCCCCAATGTCGTATTACAATAGTTCTATTCTAGTGAATAAAACTATTGAATGCCAAATTTAAAAATTAACATTTTCTTTTTGTAAATTGTTGATTCTATCCATCCATTATATATCATTTTTGTCACTTTTCATTCTTACACTATACAAACTACTATTACTAACTACTACTACTATCATCTTATATTTGTCTTCATTATTATAACATTTTCTTTATACTTTTCACATTCATAATTATAACATCCTTTATACTAAATATTACCCTAATTTTCTCATCTTATATATACCTCATTCTCTTATTTTTTTATATGTATTATCTTTCTAACGTATTTATTTTTTGCATATCATTTTTCATTCCTCTTTCCCATTTCAAATATCTTATGCATTCAGGAGAGCGAGCAGAATCATGCCGAGTTTAGAAAAGGCACAGGAGAAGAAAGACGAAAAGACAAGTGGGAAGACACAAGTTTTTTTTTGTTATTTATTTGTAATTTTTATTTTAGTAGTAATTTTTGTAAACGTTTTCAGAAATTGAACCCACCCCAAGTAGCGCTAGATATTTAGAAATTGGACTATTTCATAACATATCAATATATACGAGTACAATAAAAACTCCAGGTTTAATTGTATATTTGTTTTAAAAATTGTACATAAGTAATCTTTTGCAAGAACTAGTTAAGAAAAGTCATATAGACTAAATATAAATATAATTTTTTTTTTTTTTTTTAGAAAAAATATACATGAACTTGTTTGCATGAAAAAAATTATGATTAGACGTTTTTTGTATTAACCCCTTCAATATTTACAGCAATATCCAAAAATGTATACTATTCAATTAATTACATTTGTGTAATATCAGGCTGTGGTTTTCTTGATCTTTGTGAAATAAATAGAACGACTCCAGGACTCTCAAAACATGTTTATTTTTGTAGTCTCTGAATGCTTATTCATAGTAACTAACTTGTTTTCTTGATTTTTCTCACATATTTCATTTTTACAGTGTTGTGTGATTTTTCTTCATTGATTTTGGCTCTTCTTGAGGTGATTGCATCGATCAGGGTTATTAAAATAAGCGCGCCACAAATATATTCTTAATATAAAAGGTGGTTGTCTGTATATAATTTTGATAGTCTCAAATTTAGAGATTGTATTAGATATATTTTCTGGTCGCAACTGAACAAGGCAGCTGAATTTGGTAAATTCTTGGAACTTAACTCACATTGTTTGTTAACTAATTGTTAAATGTAAGCTTGACAGTCACATGAAGCTTACCAAGAAGTAGAAAATATGTACTATCAATGTTAATCTCGGTGTTCACTTTTTTAAAGGTGGACTTAAAAAGCATGTAAATTTCTTCGAAGTATTAGCTTAAGTTGATTTTGCATAGCTCTAAGTACAACAAAATATATTAAAAACCAAGTCTAAATTATTTGGCTCAAATTATCATATAATTGAAATGTATTGCTATCTCACAAACCGTTGGTGAAACAGCGTTAGTTAAACGGGGAAAAAGTTGTATTGTTTCGAAGCTCAATCTGAGGACTTTTTGAAAACCAAAATATCATGGACAATTTTCGAGATATTTTTGAAAATAGACATTCTGTAGTGAAATAAAGAAATTAATAATTTGGTTTTTATCGAATTTAACCAACTTTTTGTTACCAACGGATTACGAGATAGCAATACATTTTAATTAAAAAATGGTCACCCTGTATACATTAATATCTTAGTAGGTAAATGTTTATGCCTGTTTAGTAGACTCTATTGTCTCTTACGTTAATTGTTTTCTATGACATAACGTAAACCTTTATTGGCATTTAAATAAAGAGGTTCTTTATATGCATTGTTAAACTATTTTTAAAATTATTTAAATAAAATAGGAGTATTGGATGGAATAAAGCAATAAATCGGTTTAGTTCTGTTTCGCAACGGATGAAATTACTAGATACAATTTAATAAAACAAAAACTCACCTTTAGGTTATATTTTGATGTACTTAGATTTATCTGATTAAAAATCTGTCCTCGCCACAATCTCTGATACACACATATTTGTGCGTGATACAAAAAGGCTGTGCGAGAACAAAAAAAAAATATTTTGTATCTTATAAGTCAAAACTCACATTGTGTTTGCTCTCTTTTATAAATAAAAAAATATTTAGATGGTGCAAAGAGTAGATTAATAAATTATTTAAGTACATAATTGTTTTTATATTCTATCGTCTACTCCTCTTTGAAATACAGATAACGAAAATTTAAACGCGAACTATGTTAGCCAAATCTATTGGAGACTAGTGTAAATGGGAGTGCAGTGCTGTGAGAATAGGTTCAGGGACATGAGGTAATGTTGAGAAACGATAAATCAGACCTAGCTAGGAAGGGATCTGAAACAATCTAAATATTAGACAACCAAAAGTCTCCAGACCCTGGCAGAACATAATATCAGACTTAAATGGGTGTTATTTGAAGGTGTATTGAATTTTGATTCATCTAGAATCTAGATTTATTTTTCAATACCTTCCAATTTTAAGCAAGTTTTCAAAAGATGGGAAGATGGATTTCAGCAACAAACAATAAAGCACTCCCAAATATTGGTAGTAATGCAATTTATACCACATTAAATATGCAGTCGTCCCCCAAATTGTAATAAGTCTCTTAAGAAAAATGCACCATCACTGTACCAACGGTAAGTAATATTTACAAACTTGTATATGATTCAGTGTTAAAATAATTGGTTTGTTATTTAAATTTCTTTTTGTTTTCAGTTTTTAAATGATCATTTTTGTAAAGAAAATGTTGGCCCTCCAAAATACCCTGTCGATCGATAAAATATTTGAGCCTCAGCCATCAATATCAAAAATTGATTCAATGCCATTGACATCCAACAAGAAAACACCCTAAAATCTTCAAGGTTCCAAACGTGTCTAAGTTTAATTTATGCTCAAAAGTTAAATTCTTTTATCACAGTGCCCACATGATGAATAAAAATTTGATAACTACAAGTGCTGTATAAATGAATCAAGAAAACAATTATCGGATGAAGAAATGCTCTTCAACCTAACTAGTCGACTCAATAACCGTATGGCAAATTTTATTCACACTCAAATTTGCCTCGATAGTAAAAAAGGATGATGCTTCAACTTCAATTTTTTCAAACTTATTTGCCACTCCAGGTCGCAAAATTTTTATAAAGGTCTTGAGCACTTATATATGCTGATTTTGTTGCAGAAAACATTTTTGATAGGTTTATTTTATAAATATTTAATTATTTAAATGGTGTAAATGCATATTTGTTTGAGTATTTCCATGTTTAAATAGACAAATTATATGATGCGGCGTTAATTTACTGTAATAAAAAAAAAATAAAATAAATTGCATTTTATTTCAAGTTTGAAATTAATGCAAAAATATAATGAAGTAAAATCAAATAAAGATATACATTGGCAAAATATTTGACTAGTTTCAAAATCACAAAACAGTCAATATGGTTGTTTTATGATTTAAAACTAGTCAAATATTTTTCCAATTTTTTTGCTTTATTTGATTTTCTTCATTACATTTTTGCGCTACTACAAAGTTAAATTTCAAAAAGCCCGCTAGTGGCGGCCATATTGAATTTTAGTACCACTCCAATTTGATAGATGGCAGCACATCGACTCAGAATTTTACCATTGAGTTTCCCATCTATTCACATTAGTAATCTATGTTCATTGCGTTCGGTCTGCCAAGTTCCTTTAACACTTTTTACTCCAAAAGACCTTTTTAGCGTTCGGTTTAGTCCGATTAGTGACAGTTCCTGCTCCAAACCCTGACTATCCGTACTCGCCTGTTGTGTTAACATAACAGGTAGGTTAAATAGGTAAGTAATAAATAGAAGTTTTGCGAGGTTTTGATTTCCCTCAACAACTTCTCATGAACGTTGCATTTACGTTGTATAGTAACGTTTTACGTTCCCTTAAAGCAACGTCGCCGAAAGGCTTGGCAACGTTATGTGCTAGCTGGGCATCTTATGGGCCCTACATTTTTAAATCTTATCACAAGAATCCTGAAATAATTAGGCAAAAATAAAAGAATGTATTTTGCGTTTTAACTTTTAAATACTATAAAAAATGATGGAAAGTCCATAACTTTTAAATATTTGTTAAATATCACTTATTAAAATATTATGCATTAAAAGTAAAACAAACTATAGACTTTCCATCATTCTTTACAGTTTTTTGAACCCATTTATGAAAACAGTTTTTGAAAATATTATCGTTCAGAGCTGTATTTCTTGTGATAAAAAAGTCGCCGTCACTTGTCATTGACAACGCGTTGAACTTGCCCTTAAAAATTTTTTTTTGATTAATACGCAGCTGAAACAAATGTTTCAATAATAATAATAATTATTATTAAAATAGCGCGTTATTAATAAAAAATAATATATCTTATCGTAGTACGCCCGTGAGAAACGTGAGGTAGAATGGGGTAAAATGCTCGAAATTGACAGTCTGGCGCCCAAATTGTCATGCGCACCGACCGATTTTTTCACCCATTTCGGCTTAGAAATTAGGAGTAGGTTTTAATATCAAGGTCGGTGGTTATCCTTTAGATGAACTAAGCGAAATGCTTGCGGCTGTTTTTGTGTGAAATTTGGGGACAATAATTATATTTTGTAATATTACAAGTCGGAGAACATATTGTATTAGTAACAGATGCCACATGAATAAATTTAACAACCCCAGGTGGCGTTCTTTAATTAACCAAAGTAAGATCTATCCATGTAAGGACCGATTCCATACCGTTGTGTTAAATGAAGTTTGAAATGACATTTTTACATTAACAATGTCTATGCCAAGTCATATCGTTATCCATTCGTATACATGAACGAGGTTCAAAGACAAATTTCCAAGATGCTTGAAGATGGGATTATAAGGCCCAGTCAAAGTCCATGGAGTAGTCCAATATGGGTCGTCCAAAAGCGTCCAGACGCTAGTGGACGTAGGAAAGTTAGAATAGTGGTTGACTACAGAAAAGTAAACGAAAAGACTATAGAGGATAGATACCCTATCCCAAATATAACCGACATCCTAGATAAATTAGGACGATGCCAATACTTTACTACCCTGGATTTGGCATCCGGATTTCATCAGATCGAGATGGATCCCAAGTCTGTACAAAAAACTGCTTTCAACGTAGAAAGTGGCCACTATGAATACACCCGCATGCCCTTCGGTCTTAGGAATGCTCCAGCAACCTTTCAAAGGGTAATGGACACCGTTCTTAGGAATCTTCAAGGCAAAATTTGTCTCGTATACATGGACGATATCATTGTATTCAGTTCTTCCTTAGAACAACACATTCAAAATTTAAGATTAGTCTTTAATCGTTTACGAGAAACTAAACTAAAAGTCCAACTTGACAAATGTGAATTTTTAAGAAAAGAAGTAGAATTTCTCGGTCATGTAGTAACCCCGGGGTGCTATTTTCAAAGTCGAGAGAATTCATTTCTCTCGAGAGAAATGTCATACGTCAACGTAAAACAGTATTTTTAGGGTCCTAAGGGCCAGTGTAAACTCACTGATTGTTTCTCACGGTTTATTTAGAGATAATTAATATCCTCCTAAGAATTTTAATCCTCGAGGCCTTTAAAAACAGCGTTTTCACATTGACGTATGACATTTCTGATGAGAATCTTGAGAGAAATGAGTACTCACACGGTTTGAAAATAGGTCCCCAGGACGGTGTAAAACCTAACCCTATTAAAATAGAAACAATAAAAGAATTTCCATTGCCAAAAACGGCCAAAGATATTAAATCATTTCTGGGGCTCGTGGGATATTACCGATGTTAACGAAACCACTTACCAAATGTTTAAAGAAAGGGGCGAAAATTGAATATACCCAAGAATTTTTAAATGCTTTTAATATGTGTAAAACTATTCTAACAAATTCACCCATACTTCAATATCCCGATTTTACAAAATCTTTTAACATCACTACAGACGCATCTAACTTTGCCATCGGAGCGGTACTTAGTCAAGGCAAAATCGGTAGCGATCTACCCATAGCCTATGCCTCAAGAACCTTAAATTCCGCTGAAATAAATTACAGCACCATTGAGAAAGAATTGTTAGCAATTATTTATGCCCTAAAAACGTTCCGCTGTTACCTGTTCGGTAGAAAGATAAATATAATTTCTGATCATAAACCCCTTAAATATCTTTTTAATATGAAAGAACCAAATTCAAAATTTATGAGATGGTGCCTAGCTCTCGCCGAATTCGATTATGAAATCCATTATAAACCCGGAACTTTAAATAAAAATGCAGACGCGCTTAGCAGAATCGAAATAAATGTTACGGAACAAAACCAAAACCTTTCAGATAACTCATCAATGTCAGGAGAACCAGGTGACGTTAACCAAATAACAAAAAACTTTCTAGAAAATCTAATAGAACCTATAGACGATGCAAACCATGAACTTGACGAATTATTAAGTACAATAAACTTGACACACAGACAGAGAGCAAGCGCGACAACACATAGGTATTAACGACGATCAAATAATAGTTACTCAACAAAATGAATTAGACAATCAAAATAACTCACCTGATGACGAAATCGAAACAATTCATTCGTCAGCAGAAAACCCTATTCTAGAAATCCCATTTACCGAAAATCTAACAAATTCCTACAACAGACAAATAATAATTAAACAAGGGAAAACACATTTTCATGTTATCAATACGAAACATTTCGAAAATAAACTTCGCGGCCTATCTCACCAACAACGAAATCAGTAGTCAGATAATTAATCTTTTCAAAAATTACATAGATCCAAAAAAACTTTACTGCCTACATGTTCATAGCACAATCACCATCGATCTAATACCATTATTAAGAACTACTTTACAAAACACTTTCAAAAATCATAGTTACAATCTAGTTATATCAAGAAAATTCGTAACAGATGTACAAGTGGACGAACGCGAAAATTTAATTAAATATCATCATGAAACCAAAACTTGCCACCGCGGAATTAACGAAACACAAACTGCTTTGAGAAACAAATACTATTGGCCAGACTTAAATTCAGATATCACACGGTATATAAATCTTTGCGACATATGTAATCAAGCGAAATACGGACACCCTCCAAAAGTTAAATTTTCACTCACAGTTACCCCCACAAAACCCTTCGAATATATTCATATAGACG